GGGGGCGGGCGGGGGGCGGGGGGCGGGGCGGGGGGGGGCGGTGGGGGGGGCGGGGGCGGGGGGGGGGCGCGGGGGCGGGGGGGGGGGGGGGGGGGGGGGGGGGGGGGGGGGGGGGGGCTGGGGTCCAGGTGTTGGTGTTTACCTGCTCACCACCTGGGTTTCAGGATGTCCTCCTGCTGTGCTGAGGTGGGACTTTCTGCTAGCTTGCTGGGATGCCTCCTGTTCTGTACTGCTCCCCTTCCCCCAGGGCAAGAGGGGCCTTTCCCGTTAATCCCTCAAGCTGTCTGGGCTACTGGACTGCTGCACCTCATCTTTCTTCTGGTTCAGCTGTTCCAGGATTTTTCCTGGGGCAATATTTTCTGGGCTTTCAGAGTTTAATAAGGGAGGGTAAGAGTGACTTACTTCTTACTCCACCATCTTGGCTCGCGGAAGTCCATAGCACTACATTTTAAAGAGAGACTTTGGCACATCTGGGTTCAACAAGTTATAAGTCCATGTAATTATGTTGTCTTCAGCTTTCCCTTTTGTCCATAATAAGATCATATGAGACTGTCAAATTCTGTGCTGAAATTTAAGTAAACGTCATCCATAGTGGCATCCCCTTTATTTCCCAAGTCTAGTCACTCTATCACAAAAGAAGATGAAGTCAGTGTGCCATGGTTGTTCTTAGTAACCCTCTGATGGTTCCTTGTGATCATGAAGAATCTACTCCCTTTCCCTTTAGAAATGTGGGTAGGTCATTTATCTGTTTTTTTTCTAGTACCTGTCCTGATATCCCTGATCAGCATTTGGAGTTCATGTGATCTCAGCTGGAAGTTCTTAAGACCCAGAGACATGAGTTTGGCCAGAGCAGCATGTTCTCTTGCTGTCTTTGATTTCAATTCCCTCTTAAAAGTTTTTTAATGGCTATCTTTTTTTTTTTTTTTTTAGTATCTGCCTTTTTCAGTATATCCCTTTTCTCTCCTCCTCCCAGAGGGCCTTCCCTTACAATAAAGAATAAAAAAGATGAAAAAAAAATAGTTCAACAAAACTAACTTATCAAAACACTTTGCCATGATGTGTAGCATTGCACACCCCAGCTCTACACCTTTGCAGAGAGGCTGGGTGTGTGAGGAGATGCTTGTTCCTGTCTCTGCGTGGGAGCCAGGCCTAATCAGTATGGTTTTGCAACATTTAATTTTTATTATTGAATTGCCAAGTTGTTATTGAGTTGTTGCTCTTCTTTCCATTTCTACTGCTGTAGTCACTGTATACATTGTTTTCCTGGTTCTGCTTTCTTTGTGTTTCACTTCCTCAGCCATATTTGTTCAACACTTCTCAACTAAGGAGTGCTTCTGTTGACAAAAGGTGGAATCAGAATAGGCATTGAGTAATTTTGCTTTCTTTCTGTTGCTGATTAATATAAATCCTCCCCTTAAAGCAGTGGGCTTGGTGTGTTCTTATTACCCTTAGTATAGATTTAAAATACAATGAAACCAACTGTTAGGCATATACCCCATTAAAGGTGTGTATGTGCATTGACAGCCCCCACCCCTTACCAAAAGTCGTGGTAGCACTTTTTGCGGTAGCAAAAAACTAGAAACAAGAGGCAGCTAGGTGGCGCAGTGGATAGAGCATCACTCCTGGAGTCAGGAGAACCTGAGTTCAAATCCAGCCTCAGATACATAATACGTACTAGCTGTGTGACCCTGGGCAAGTCACTTAACCCCATTACCTAAAAAACAAAACAAAACAAAAAAACTGGAAACAAAGTAGATGCCCATTGATTTGGGGAATGGTTAAACAAATTGTGGATAATACATGAAAAGGAATATTATTAGACCATAAGAAATAATGAGCATGAAGCATGGGAAGAGTTTTATGAATTGATGCAGAGTGAAGTCAGATGAGCCAAGAAGACATGTACACAACGATCACAACAGTGTAAATGGAAAGAATCAGTAACCAAAACTGAATATAATGACTGAGCTTGTCACTATAATTAGAGAAAAAAATGAAGAAATGTGTAAAGAAGGTGGGTAAGGGTCATGGCACATCCTGTCTGCATATACCCTCAAACTCCATATATTTGTTGATTAGTTTTGCAAAACTGGGGGAAGGAGAGGAATGGCTGGGTGAGGGGGGGATCCTTCCTTCCTGATACGTTGTTATGAGAGGCAGCGCTTTGAGGAGGGAAAGAAAATTGCTGGAAATGGAGATGGTATAAAAACAGACTATATCAATTAAAAATGTTATTAAAACTAAACAAAATCCCTAAATTGTCATTATTGGTTTTCCTAAAGACATTTTGGTCCCTTCCCCTCTTTTATGTTCTTTCTGGTAATTTAAAGCTCTTGATGGCTTGGCCCCTTCCTGCCTTTCTGATCTCTTTTAACATTCTTCTCCTCTACGTATTCTCCAGTCCTATGGTTGTGGCCACTTTGCTGTTCTGTACCATTGTGCCCCACCTCCCACCTTTGCACAACTTTTCCCCATGCCTGGGACCATCTCCTTCTGCTCCTGCCTCTTGGCATCCCTGATCTCCTTTAAGACTCCGTAGAGACTGCAGCTCTTCCCCTGGATGGGAGGCCTGTCCTGGTTCTATGAGCTCGCCCCGCTCCAGGGCTACCTTTTTTTCTGTTGTGTGTATTTTGTATTTGTCTTCTCTCTTAGAATGTACTGCTTGAGGGCATGGACTCTTTTGCTTTTGTCTCTGCTTCTCCAGTCCTGTGCGTATGCCTGGCACATTGGAGGTGTTTAATAAATGCTTATTGATTGATCTGTTCCTCAGTCTTATGCTTTTACTTCCATTTTCAGAGATATATCCTTTTAAAATCTGACTTTGTTGGACTTTCCTAAGATGTCTTCTCTGTCTTTGTTGGGATCATTTGCATTTTTATCATTAGAAATTCATTCTTGGGAAGACTCCAAATTTTCTTTTAGATTTTTTCAAAAGCCATGAAATCCTAATTGTTTTTTCTTTGAACTTTTAAAAAATCTGTTTCAATTCTAGAGAACATATTGATTGCTGTCATTTCTGACCTTGGTTGTTGTGAATTCTAACATGTCTTTCTTTGTTTCTTTCGTGATTCCCATTGATTTCATTTAACCAACTTTGTTGGTTAGAATTAAGTTCAGAGCAGCTGTCATATTACCTCCTCTTCCTTTCAAGAGATTAGTTTGTCAGCAAGACACATAAAGAATTTGCCAGAAGCTCAGTTTTTAGCAAAATATGATTTCCAGTGAATATCTAGATTGTTGAAAAGCCCTTTTGACATCTGGAATGTCTCTCTCTCCCATACTCTTTCCATTTTTCCAAATCCATCCCTCTGCTAAGCCTTAAGTCAGATGTAGTGTCTCCATAGCACCTTGTACCTTGTCTAGGTCCATACCACATTCTCATTTCTGTTAAAGCTTTGTTGTGTTCTCTCTCATCACCTCTTTGCAGGCAGGAGTAGTCCCATCACATTTGTTATCCTCAGTGCTTAATGCAGTCTTGCTTAATAAAAGTCAACTTGTTTACAATGGTTAATTATCTTGTCTTCCCACAGAGCCAGTGGCAGCCCCAGCTACAGCAGCTCCGAGACATGGGCATCCATGATGATGAGCTGAGCCTCCGAGCCCTCCAGGCAACTGGGGGGGACATCCAGGCAGCCCTGGAGCTCATCTTTGCTGGAGGGGCTCCTTGACCCCTGTCTGAGGCTATAGTGCACGGGCCATTTGGGATGCTGTAAAGATAAGATGATTGTAAGGGTCCTGGGACCAACATATTTCCCCAATACACTTTATGTGGAAACTGCTTGCATGTTGTGAAGGCTCCCTAGTCAGAGTCAGGGCATGTGACGTGAAGCAGGAGTGATCTGCCTGGTCCGGCTGCCCTTGATAGATAATGGGACGTTGGCATTGATTCTGGAGAGTTTTGGACTCGAGCCCCCACAGCATCATGGGCCGGTTCTGTGGGCCTGAGGAATCCAGCTCAACAGGGTCCATTCTCTGTTTATGGGAAGGGGATCACCCCAGAGGTATTCAGGGCTCAAGTATCTGAGGCCTCTGTCCCCTGAGAGGAGACCTGGCCCTGGGCCCAACGGTGGGGAACAGGGGTTCCCCCTTCTTCACAGAGAATTTTTTTTTAATTCTGTAACTACTTGGAAATCCTATAGTCAGGAATCCCTTGTTCACCCTAGGAAGTTAGCGCAGGATCACAATTTTGAGGGGTTCTAGTTCAATTCATGAGTTGCCTGTGGGACTTCAAGGAGCGAAGATTGGAGTAGGACATCCCCAGGTCTCCTTTTCCCACAAAGGGTTCAGAATTTGTAAGCTGTTCACACCCCCTAGTACGTCCCTCCCTCCTGTGCCCTAGTCCACTCTGGGGCCTTTCTGTGTCCCACCCTGAGCCACAAGCCTGAGGGCATGAGGCTTAGAGGCAGGGGACAGAATTACAGAACCTGGATTTGAACCCGGGCTCACAAACGCAACCAGCTGAGTGACCATGGGCAAGTGACGTCACCCCCTGAACATCACGTCATCTGTAAAACAGCCAGTAATCCCTCCAGTGTCTGCCCTAAAAGTGTTCTCCACCTAAGGAGCTATTATGATTCATAATAAGGGTAGCTGGCTCTTTGTGAGGGGTGGCCCAGCAATCAGAAAGTCCCTGGGATAGCAAATGCCTGCTGGCTTAGGCACAGTGTCCTTTGAAGAGCCTTTTTCTGAAGGTACATCCAGTCTAGACAGGAAGGCAAGGCACAATTACAGAAGGTATTACATAAATGGTAATGAAGTAGAAAGGTCCCCTTCAGGAGCACAGAGTCAAGTCCAGCGTCTCCCTGTACAGGTACCTAGCTCTTCTACAGCATCCCCAACGAGCGGCCATTCATTTAGCCTTTTCTTGAAGATTTCCTAAGGTGGGCCTTCCTACTTTGGGCCAGCTTAATATGAGATTTCCACCAAAATCTGCCTCGTTGCGACCTCCCATTTGTTCTTAGTTCTGCTCTCTGGACCAAGCAAAACAGGTTCTTCATGACAGCCCTTCACATGTGAAAATAGCTTGTGCCCCCTCCACGGCATTTTCTAAACTAAAAGTCCTGCATTCCTTCAATAGATCCTTCCTCAGCCTGCTGCTCTCCTCTGCATGTGCTTTGGGCTGTGCTCCATTGGCCCGCCAGCTTTTCCTGATTCTTGGTTTCCTGCGTGGTTTGTAAAGGGGGGGCGGGGCAAGAAAATTCCTTTTGTCTGTCCTATGTGGTTTACTTGGGCATGGTATGTTAATTAAAGGAAATCTATAACTCGTTTCTGTTGTGTAGCTGATAAAATGACGGTGCAGATTTCCCCCGCTGCCTCCCCGCTTTAGTTAAGTTTCTCATAAGGGTATATGAGCTGGCAGAGAACAGGGCTCTCAGGGCCAATAAGTAGTCCGGGCAGGGCAGTCATACTGGAAAAGCAATAGTCTTTGTGGTGGAAATAAAAAAGCAGAGAGGTCTGTATTTGTCCAATTCCTCTTCTCTCTCCCTTCCCCCTGCCAATTGCTTGCGTGTTGTGGGGGAAGTGCTGGCTTGGCACCAGGTTATACTCTAGGGCTTCTCGAAGGCTTCCATTCCATGTCTCCCACTCCAGAGGCTGCTTTAGGAGAAGATACTTGGCAGGAATTGGGCTTTTGTAACCTCTTACTTTGACAAACTACTATGCGTGGAGCCTGGTTTTTAGAGCTGGCCAAAACTGGTTAAGCATTTTGCAAAGTACTGGATAGAGACTGATTGTAGCTTTTGTCCACGTGGCATTTTATAATTATAAAAAGCTTTACCTGTGTTCTCTCCTTTAATCTTCAGTAATTCTGTGAGGTTGTTAATGCAAGTATTGCCCCCATTTTGCAGATGGGAAAACTGAGGCTCATAGAGGTGAAGGTACTTGCCCAAGATAACACATAACTAGTGGTTGTCAGAACTGAGACCACAGTCCAGATACCACATTACACTCAAGTACTAGTTTCTACTTCCCAGAAAGCTGGGTTTTAAATTGTAATAGTAACAGTGTCCTTGGTGGTCCTTTACACACTGGTTTCCAGGTAAGTGATCATCCAACCTTCATTTGAAGACCTTTGGCAGGGTGGGTGGGTGGAGGGTCTGTTCTGTTTTTTGACAGCTTTTCTGATCTCAGAAGAGCTTCCATGGCCCCTTAAATCTCTAGGGTCTTGGGGGCAGCTAGGTGGTACAGTGGATAGACCACCGGCCCTGGATTCAGGAGGACCTGAGTTCAGACGTGGCCTCAGACACTTAATACTTACTAGCTGTGTAACCCTGGGCAAATCACTTAACCCCATTGCCTAGCCAAAAAAGAAAAGATCTCTAGGTTCTTAGCCAGTCCTCCAGTGGGGAGGTCCTTCCCCACTCTAGTTTCATTCCTTTGTCAGTCAATCAGCAAGCATTAAGTTCTTTCTTTGTGCAGGCACTGTGCTAAGAGGTGAGTACAAAGAAAAACTTCCCTTTCCCTCCAATTGCTTACATTCTAATTAGGGAGATAATTTATATACAAAGGTCCATATAAAATATTGATGGAGATAGCACAGGCACAAGGTGGCCTTAGGGAGGATGGCATCAGCAGCTGGGGGAACCAGCCAAGACCTGCAGGAGGTGGAGGTGTGGAAGAAGAACATTCCAGACATGGCAGATAGCAGTCAGTGCAAAGGCACAGAGATGGGAATGGGGGTTGTGTGTGAGTCACCCCAAAATGGCCGGATTGTAGAGGGCAGGGAGGGGAATGATGTTCAAGAAGCCTGTTTATGGTCAGACCTACACTTTGGGTAGTGGTGGGGAGGATAGATTGGAGTAGGGGCAAAGAGAGTCAAGTAGACCAATTAAAAGGCCCTTGTAGTGGTCCGGGGGAGAGGTGATGAGGTCCTGAACTAAGATGGTGGCTGAGTGTTCATGGGAATGAGATGTCAATGAGATTTGACAGCAGATAAGACAACTTTCATATGAAATGAGAAATTTAGAGTGATAGCAAACTTGTGAACTGAGGTGCCTTGGAGCATGGTGGTACCCTTAATAGGGAAATTTGGAGAACAGGTGATTTTAGGAGGACACGAGTTCTATTGTTTTGGACTTGGTGAGTGTGAAAACATCTACAAGACTTCTAGGTGGCAGTGTCCAGAAGGGAGTTGGTGATGTGGCCTTGGGGCTCAGGAGAGGACTAAAGTTGGATATTATTGGGGAGGGAGGAATGACCTAAAATGTCACCCAGAAATGATCCAGATACCCTCTGACTAGGGCAAAGGAAAGCAACACTCACTCTCAACCTTGATTCCCCTCTGAGCACACTGGTTAATGTTTCTTGTTTCCCCAACCATACTAGGAGCTCCCCGAAGCCAAGGGGACCATGTTCCTCTTGTTTCTGCTCTGGGACCTAGCACAAGTCTGGGCATCTGCTCCAGTGTCTTGTAATCAGAAACCAAATGGTACTTGAGAATTTGGACTGATTTCTTGATTATCTGTAACTTTGTAGTGTGAGTACTTCTGCAGAGGGGCTAGGTATCTAGTCCATGTTCTTTGGGCCGGAAATCAGGTCCTTTGTGCACATCTCTCCCCATTCTAACGTACAGCTGTGTCTCAGGACATTAGGATAGAGCATTAGAAACTAAACTCACTGTGATCAGTACACCCACTGCCATCCTGGGCAGAGGAGAGGCAGTATAGCTGAAGGGCTTGATTTAAGGGGTCAAACGACTGCTTCCCCTCTGTGCCTCACTGGGAACCTAAAATATGGGGAAGCAATTCCATGGTTGGTGCTTATTGAAATACGGCAATAAATTTGTCACCAAGACACACTGTTGATTGTAACCTGACAGATTAAAGCCATATCTTAGAGGGAGGAAACCAAGAAAAATGGAGTGGAGGCTCCCTAAACATGAGATCTCTAAATAATTGCTACACTCCATACCAGTCTCTACATTTGACCAGTATCCCCAGTATGAGTGGAACAACGCTGGCAATAGAATAGTACCCTCTTCCCTGACTAGGTATTTTACATTCAGCCTTGAGGAATCTGTTACTTCCCCTGGTGATCAAGAAGTTTGTAGTCCACCTACAACCTAAGTTTCTACTCCTAGGGCAAGGAGTACCAAGCTTTTAGAAATAAATTCAGTTGGGGATGGGGAAAGGGGAGAAGAAGGGATTCAAACACTAACAGTCTATCATCCCAACCTAGGAATGACTGCTATATAGTGGAGGGGTGGAAGGCAGGCTGAGGAGGAGCTCGAATTATGGAGTGGAACAGAGGAGGAGAAGCGAGTAACTTTCTATCTTAGTTACTTTTGCTAACTAGGTACTAGGTTCAGTTTTCTGTTGTTAGAATGTGCCCTCATTTTTAGAGCCCTTGGACTGTCGCCTCACCTTAGTAACAACTGTTTAGGATTATGTCAACGAGAGGGAAAAACAAGAATGTTTTCTCTAGTGAGATTTCAAATTCACACACACACACACACACTAGAAAACCTGAAAGGAGTAGAATTGACTCAATAGGTTCAAGGTGGGGCCTCCCACAAGCTGTTATGTGTATAAATGTAGTTCTGTGTTCGGGCAGCAGGGATGAGAAGTCACCAACCACAGGCAGACTATGAAGAGTTGAGCACTTACCTTGAGAGTTTGTGAACAAGGACAATAGTCATTAAGGAAGAGTTCATACAAAAGGTGAGTTGTAGGAGCAAGCTAATCCCGGCTAGGCTAGGAGCCATGAGTTGTAAATACAAAAGCTGTAGGAGCTGCGGAAAATCCATTAATAGCCCATTGCACATATTTCGAGCATGTAGGAATTAACCTTACGTTTTTGTCCCGCTAGCACTTTTACATTGATCTCATTTGATCCTATGGGATAAATGGCTATTGAATCATTCCTGACCAATTTTACATGTGAGGAAATGGGATTATAGATTTTAGGACTGGAAAGACCCTTATAGACGCCATTCGCCACACACACTTTCACAGTTGAGAGAGGCCAGTATTTGAACTGAGCTTCTTTGATTCCAGAGCAAGTGCTTTTTCCATCCTACCCGGTTTCCCATAGCGATGAAATGACTTGTCCTAGGTTGGTGGCTGAACTAGGGCTAGAACCCAGGTCTCAGCTTCCACTTCAGCTCTCTTCTGAGGGGATGCCATTCCTCATTCTGTTCTCCTTTATCCCAGCACAGACATGTTCCAACCCAGTCACCTGGAATAGCAGGAACATGGCTATTACGGGGGATGAAGTCCAGAGAAAAAGTATACTGTGATAACCAGCATAAGCTGTTGTCTGTCCTTCATTCTCAAAGAGGACCATGACATTAGGAAGGTGATATCATGACTTACAAGTGAATTGGATTTAAGTGAGGAAGGGCTGTGCAAAGTCACCAGCCTCACTCCTCCAAAGCCACCTGGGTCCAGTGGCAAGAAATAGATCAGGTTGACTGGAGATGGCCCCCACCAGCATAAGCACTCTGGCTTTGGAGTCAGAGAACCTGGGTTCAAATACCCTCTCTGGCACCTAACTCCCGTATGACCTTGGGCAGGTCACTTCACCTATCAGGCCTCAGTTTCCTCATCTGTAAAATCAAAGGGCTAGACTAGATGGTTTCAGAGGCCCCTTCAAACTGTAGATTTATTTATTTATTTATTTTTTGGAAAGAGCAAGCTTTATTGTATACTTAGTTCCAACAACTCCAAGAACACTTTCCCCACAATTCCCAGGATAACAGTGTTGTCCTAGGTTGCCTACTACTGTGATTATAGACCCCAGTACTGCCCACCAGAACTATAAGTATGAACATATGTATTGCATACACATTGTAGACAGGGCTAAGATGGAAATAACAGATGTTGAATGTTCCAAGCTAGAAATGTCTTCTTTCCAGACCGGGGCTCCTGAAGGGTACGGTTTAAGGGCCTCACTTGAATCCATGTGGCATCCTAGCAGTTCCTATTCTCTAGGAAGGGCTATTGGGGAGCCTACTTCCACCAGCATTCCCATCTTGCTTCTGTTGCCCCATCCCTAGAGGAAATGCAGTCAGGGGGAGTTTACCATGACTTTGTCAGTCATTGAGAGAACTAAGCTAAAAATACACATTCTTCTCCCTCCAAGAACACACTGAAAAGACTAAAGCAATGCTCCAAATGTTGGCCTAAGCCTATGAAAGCTATCCTAAAATAATACTTCATGCCTTTGCTAGTGACATTTGGAAGACTATCTGAAAGCCATGATCAAAAAAGAGCCTAGACGTTATCTTTCACGAAATTATCCAGGAAAACTGCCCTGATATTTTAGAACCAGAAGGCAAAACAGAAATTGAAAGAATCCACCGATCACCGCCTGAAAGAGATCCCTAAAGGAAAACTCCTAGGAATATTGTAGCCAAATTCCAGAGTTCCCAGGTCAAGGAGAAAATATTACAAGCAGCCAGAAAGAAACAATTCAACTATTGTGGAAACTCAATCAGGATAACACAAGATTTAGCTGCTTCTACATTAAGGGACTGCAGGGCATGGGATATAATATTCCAGAGGGCAAAGGAGATAGGATTACAACCAAGAATCACCTACCCAGCAAAACTGATTATAATCCTGCAGGGGAAAAAATGGTCATTCAGTGAAATAGGGGACTTTCAAGAATTTTTGATGAAAAGATCAGAGCTGAATAGAAAATTTGATTTTCAAATACAAGACTCAAGTGGAACATGAAGAGAGCAACATCAGGAAAGTAATGGACGTTTGGTGTTGGAGTCCAAGAGCGGTGACCTTGAGGGTCCAACATGGAAACCGCAGAATATTTCTAGCCAAGACTTTGACAGTCTGAGACCAGGAGAGCAGCTCTATTCTAAATAGTTGCTAGGGACAGAATCTCTGACTCTCTCTGGGCTTCCTAACTCTGTGAACCACTCAGAAGTGTTAAGTAGTGAAAGCCCAGAACCTTCTTGAGCAGCAGATGCTCTAAAAGGACAGGCATCCTCCCAGACAGCTGTGTGCTCTTCAGGGAAGTTCTCTTCTGATAATTTACTCGTGGACAAACATGAAGAACATCTGAAAACTCGACAGGCGGCAGGTATAGATTTGGTTCATCATGAGGACTGGGAAATGGTACCTGAGCACTCAGTGTGGAGAGACGCTGGTAAGGGCAAGATCTCTGAGCCTTCTCATGCTGGTGCATCTATGCTTGAACTCCAGACGTTGAGCCCAAACCAGGATGAGACTCCCTCAAGGATGCCAAAGGTCCGGAGATTCATTTGAAAACAAGGAGAGTGGCAGCAGTGTTCCCGTTATCTCAGCAAGTCAATGTGCAGTTCCAGGTTCACTATGTCACCATGTCTGACACCACCATAGTGGCAGTAACTGGAGACCATGAGATCCTCGGCAGCTGGCACGGTTATATCCCGCTCCAGTATGGCAAGGATTGGTTCTGGTCCAGATCTGTTCCCTTACCAATGGATACAGCACTAAAGTGGAAATTTGTGATCGTGGAGAATGGGAGCATTGTCTGTTGGGAAGAGTGTGGTAATCGACTCCTAGAGACTGGGCATGAAGATACAATTGTTCATAAATGGTGGGGCTGTCACTGACTGGTTTGGGGAAGCATCAGAATAACTTTTGGGACTATTGTGGGTTTTTTTTATTATTACTATAGATTTATTCCACAAGAACTCCAGGGTTATCCTCAGTAGCTCTTTTAGTCCCTGGAGTTTATTAAGAGTTATTGACTGCATTTAAATGAAGATGCTGCTTCTGAGTGTGCCTCCTCCTTTCCCTTCCTCCACTCCATAGAGCTTTTAGGTTTCCCATCCATTAATGTCCTTGTGCCGGTCCGTTTCTACTTCATTGCTCAGTTGCCTTGGCACAAGGAACTAGCTAAAGTGTTCTGTCGAGTGGTCACAGTGGTTCAAACTTGTGGAGAACCAGCACTTCCTTTAAAGATCACCTGACTCCCTGCTAGTTTAGCGAATAATGATGACGTCCTTCGGACTCTGTTTCAGAGTCAAGGAATAATTTTGTTGCCTTTGTTTGTACCTCTGGTGCCTGGTACAAATGCCTGTTGAGTGATTGACTGATTGATTAATGCAGTGACTGACTGAGTAATGAAGTGAAAGAGTCTGGTCTTCCAAACTGTAGATTTATGATCCTATGATTTTAACTGGTAATATTAAGTTGGTAATAACTAGGACTGTTGCTTCCACACCATCCCACATTGATGACCACTAACTACTTAGCCAAAGAACCTCCAGGAGCTTTAGATAGTCTCCCCCTGGGGGATGGAGAGGCTGGCAGATTACAAGTAACAATGAAAGTTCAGGCTGGAGAAATGCTTCTCTCATCTCCAGGTGCACCAGGGAGGCTTCTTGCATTCCTTAAAAGGGCTTGAAAGGTCCTTGCTTCGGCAGCACATATACTAAAATTGGAACGATACAAAGATTAGCATGGAACCTGCTCGAGGATGACACGCAAATTTGAGAAGCGTTCCATATTTTTAGGGGCAGCTAGGTGGCGCAGTGGATAGAGTACCTCCCCGAAGTCAGGACGAGCTGAGTTCAGATTCGGCCTCAGACCAAACATTTGACGCTTACTAGCTGTGTGACGCCGGGCAAGTCACTTAAACCAAACAAACAAACAAACAAAAAAAACCCAGAAGGGCTTGAAAGGAGAAGAACATTTAGAAAGGATGTGAAGAAGCTAGAGGGACATTCTAACTTGCAGCAGGAAGTTAGGGAATAGAAGAATGAGACATAAAATGAGGAAAGAAGTACCTCTCACTATTTGGAGCTACTAGGTATGAGGCTTTTCCCCTAGAGTTTGAGCTGAATCCTCTCAAGAGGAAGTTGTTTCTCACACTTCTTGGTCCCCTGTTGTCAGAAGAATAAGACAACTTCCTTGTTTAGGGGATACAGAGATAAATTTGGTAATCCGACAACCAATAGGGGAGTCTTGTCATCTTGGGGTGAGTATCCATGCTGGGTCAAAGCCTCTGAGGACTTATCCAATTGAGCTTTATTGATTCAGGTCAAATGGTTGTGTGAGAATAAGTAATAGCGTGCGAAGAAACCTAGAAAACACAGGAGCAATGTGTCCTTGATAGAGTATGCCTGGCGAAGGAAAGGAAAGGAACTAGAATCTAAGGGTGTGTGTGTGTGTAGTGACCTCATCATTTGTGGAATGGTAGGAAAAACATGGAATATTGTTACACTGTAAGGAATGAGACCATTTCAGAGAATCCTGGGAAGTATGAACTGATGCAGAGGGAAGTGAATAGAACCAGGAAACAAGTTATACAAATGTCAGAAGCATCGTAAAGCAAAACATTTTGAAAGCCTTAAGAACTCTAATCAGTGCAATGATTTATGAAGAAACATGTTTGCTAACTCCTTGCAGGTGATGGATTCAAGGTACAGAGACATAACTTTTTTTTTTTTTTGAAACATGGCCACTGTGTGGATTTATTTTACAATGATGATGTAAAAAATTTTAAAGAAAGGAGGGCCAGCAAAATATATTTTTAAATGGCATAGGAACAGAAAAAAACATAAGCAGGACAGTTTTGAAAGAAATGTATGTAATCTATTGTGTGTGTTTTAAAAAGCAGCATGAAATAGAGACTCATTTTCATACACAATCCTGAATTCTACTCATTTGGGGTGGACTAAGTTCAGAATAAAAACAAAAAAAAAAAAAACCAACTTCCTTTTCATTTTTTCTCCAAGCCTAAATAGTTATGGGCATACCTTGGAGATATTGCAGATTTGGTTTCAGACCACCACAATGAACATGAAATAAAGCAAGTCACATGAATTTTTTGGTTTCCCAGTGCATTGTTGTTTATCCTTCATTTTTGAAAAGGACCAATGAAGTCAAGTGTGATGTCTTGACTTGCTCATGAATTGAATTTAAGTGAAGCAGAGTTTTAAAGAAGTCATCAGCCTCACTCTCTCTTCCTGAGTCATTGAAGTCCAGGGGCAGGACAAAAGTCAAGATGACTGGACAGCTGGGTGTCGCAGTGATAGAGCACTGGCCCTGGATTCAGGAGGACCTGAGTTCAAATCTGGCCTCAGATACCTAACACTTACTAGCTGTGTGACCCTGGGCAAGTCATTTCACCCCATTGCCTAGCCAAAAAAAAAAGTCAAGATGACTGGCAATGGCCCAAGATGCAGTGGATGACGTTGGCATCTTTGATGAATGACCAAATTCTAAGCGCTGCATATCACAGCTTCATGGCTGTTGGAACAAATTGTTCTCATCTGCCATATGATTGAGGAAATCTTCACGTGTTTGGTGTAGAAACCCCCCTATTAAATACCTAATATGTAAACTAACTAACTAACTAACTAAATAAATAAAAATAAAAGGGGCAGCTAGGTGGTACAGTGGATAGAGCACCAGCCCTGGATTCAGGAAGACCTGAGTTCAAATGTGACCTCAGACATGTAAAAACACTTATTAGCTGTGTGACCCTGGGCAAGTCACTTAACCCCATTGTCTAGCCAAAAAATAAATAAGTGCCTAATATGTGCCAGACAGTGTGGTAAGCATTTTACAAATATTACATCATCTGATCCTCACCTGGGAGGTAGGTGCGATAATTATCCCCACCTTATAGATGAGGAAATTGAGATAAACAGAAGTTAAGTGACTTGCCCAGGGTCATACAGCTAGTGTCTGACTCTGTATTTGAATTCAATTTTTCCTGACTCCAGGCTCAGCACTCTATCCACTGCACCAATCAGCAAGAGCCAGAAAGGACCTCGGTAGAGCATCTAGTCTAATCCCTTCCTTTTACAGATTAGGAAATAGCATATAAAAATTATATTTATACTACACTGTAGTCTATTCAGTGTGCAATAGCATTATGTTTAAAAAACCATACATACCTAATTAAAAAATACTTTATTGCTAAAAAATGCCAACTGTCATCTGAGCCTTCCTTGAGTTATAATCTTTTTTGCTGGTAGAGGGTCTTGCCTTGATGCTGATGGTTGCTGACTGATGAGGGTGGTGGTTGCTGAAGGTTGGGGTGGCTGTGTGTGGCAATTTCTTGAAATAAGACAATGAAATTTGCCACATTGATTGACTTCCTTTCATGAAAGATTTCTCTGTAGCATGCTATGCTGTTTGGTAGCATTTTAGCTCCAGTAGAACTTCTTTCAAAATTGGAGTCAATCCTCTCAAACCCTGCTGCTGCTTTATCAACTTGTTAGTGTAATATTCTTCAATATTGTTGTGTCTCAGGGAATAAGGATACCCAAGGAAAAGGGAGGGAGATGGAGAATGGCTGGTCGGTGGAGCAGTCGGAACATATATAACCTTTATTGATTAAGTTCTCTGTCTTATGTGGACAGGTTTGTGGTGCCTCAAAACAATTACAAGAGTAACATCAAAGATCAGTGATCACAGGTCACTGTAACATATAATAATAATGAAAAAGTTTGACATATTTCAAGAATTACCATAATGTGGCACAGGGATATGATGTGAGCACATGCTGTTGGAAAAATGACACCAGTAGACTTGCTTGATACAGCATTGCCACAAACTTTCAGTTTGTAAAAAAATGCAATAAAGCGAAGTGCAATGAAATGAGATCTGCCTGTATTCAACTCCTTTTATAGATAAAGATAGAGGCCAAAAGAATGAATGACTTGTTTAAGGCCTTACAGCAGATACTGACAAGCTTGGGATTAGATTCTTCCTGCTTATACCATAATGCTTGTTAAGATTCCCTAAGCCTCTTATCCTACAAAAACATAGATATATCTATATATGAAGGTATATGTATATGTGTGTATATATTTATATGTGTATGTATATATTTATGCAGGTATATATATATATGTATTTGTATCTATCCAATCTAATGGGGGGGAAGGACAGGAATAAATGCTTTGGTTAGACTCCTCTCTTTTACCCTTAAAGTGCAGGGCCCAAACTATTCTGGGTCAGTTAAATCATTTTTATTATTCTTCATACATACATCATAAGGCTGACTTAGGAGAAAGAGGTTTAGGTCCCAAGGTGAGGGTTTAGTCTCCCAGGAAGAGGCTAAATCCTAGAATGAGCTTCAAATCTAAGATATGATGATGTAACATTCTCTGGGGATTTGCTCAGCTCACAGTTGAGGCTGTAGCTAGCCATCTCTCTCCTTACCGCTTATTGCCTTAACTTTACTGTCACTTTTTAGTCTAGTCTCCCGCTCCCCCTCAAATAAATAGCAGCAGAAATGAAGAACTCTGTTCCTTTTTATTATGAGAACTCAGCTTGGAGGGAAGCTTTCCCAGGGCTGTCAGCCCTGAGGTCACCACAGCTAGTCCTGCTAAGTCCAGCAGCAGGAGGAGAATTCCCCAACTTCCACCTTATGCCAATTGGAGGAAAAGGAAAGGAGGAGGGGGAAAGGAATAGGTAGCATAAGAGTGGGGACAATACATCACTCCAACCCTCACAGTTGGACGTTCTCTCACTCCGAAAGGTCTTCTCTGAACATCTGATAGAAATAGCAGCCTTTAGAACCCCAACTCCCGGAGATCCAGAGTGACATCCACCTCAGTTCCCTTCACCCTAGGAAGATCTGTATGGGAAAAACCCCATGAATGATAGGGCAAGTGAGACCAGAATTCAAAAGGTAGCTGGATGAAACCTTCCTCTGTTGGGCCTGCTAAGTTCTGTCCATAAGAGGCTCCCATGTCCCCACTTCACAACTACATATTTCCTTAGGACCCTCCACAGGTACCCACCTATGGCTCTTAGGGACAGAAGCAACAGTGTTATTTAGAGGATGTCCAGGCTCTTCACCTTCACCTTCACCTTCCCTTTCCTTCCCACGCCATCAGGTGAGGTGGTTAGGTGATTCAGGCTTTAGAGCTCTAGGCCCGGAGTCAGGAAGACTAGAGTTCCAATCTGGCTTTAGACACTTATCAGTTGTGTGATCCTGGGCAAGTAACTTAATCTCAGCCTTAGTTTCTTCAACTGTAAAATGGGGATAATAATAGTCCCTACCTTCCAGGGTTGCTGTGAGGATCAAATGGGATAATATTTGTAAAACACTTCGCACAGCACCTGGCACATAGTGGGTGCTTAATAAATGCTTATCCTCTTCCCCCCCCTCCAGATTCTGGAAGAGCATTGGGGGCCTGGGAAGAGGTGGTGACCTTCAAATGGCAGGTAATATAGATATGGGAGATGAGAATGGAAGATGGGACAGCTTAGTTGGCACAGATTCCACAGCCTGGGGGAGGGAATACTCATCTTATTCCTAGAAGCCTGGTGTACACCTGAAGGAGTCCATTACAAAATGCATCATGGCCTGTTGAGGCTAGGGTGGGGGTGGACAGGTGGAAAGGGGAAGAAAGGCTGAGGGAGAGTCTCCCAGGTCTTCTATCTACCAGGCACCTCATCATGAGAGGCACCTATGTCAGACATCCATAGGCCACTGCCCAACCCTGATCTCATCTCTCTACCGCCTTACCCTTTGAAGTCAATGACAA